GGAGGCGACTGCAGTGTTTGGCTTTGCTGGGGTTTACTCTGTGGAGTGTAGTAAGACGGGGGGTGGGTGGAGGGGGCGCGGTATTCCAAATGGGAATAACGAAGCGTTCTTCGTTGTCTCTTGTCTAAATCTCCCCCACGTGAAAAACGTGTGCAGGTATATGTGTAAATACACGCGTGTGTGCGTGTGCACAATCTGACCAGTTGTATTGAGAATGCCACTAAAATTGCTTACAGAAAACAACCAATTTTGTACTAGTGTTAAACATAACTAAGTCAGTTAAACGTTCTTCGGGACTCAGTTTCTGTTATTTCGTTTGCTTATTGCTTATCTTCCTGCAGTAAGACATTATAGCCCTGCTTGTGAGGTGCTATGCAAACATACTGCGTTTCCTACCCTTAGCAGTTGGCAAGCGATCATAATCCAAACTCTGAGTGCTGTCATGCTGGGGTTTTTGTTTGTTTTTTAAAAATGTCTGTGAGCCAAAAAAAACCTAGATGGATGCCATTTTGGAAACAAGCCCTCATTACCATAGTACTCCTGAGAAAACGCAGCATGTACTGGGGGGGAGGAGAGCCACAGTTCAGCAAGCATATACTTGAGTGTGGGCATTTCAGAAAGATACCCTTACTTTTCTTAAAATCGTAGTGCCAAGCATGTGAGGACAAATCCTACTCTGGGAAAACTTCAAGTGCAGCATTCATAGCTGCATGCTGAAAATGCATGTGGGCAAACAATAAACATACTTGTTTTGTGAAATGGCTGATTACAGAATCAGGCATGTGTTATAGATGATCATTTGCGATGAATAAAAGGAAATAGTCTTAAGCACACTTGCAATCTCCTAACTCTGTTTTATTTCATTTCCCAATAAGCGCTAGCAACTTTTGTGTGTGTTATGTATTATATCTTGTGTGTACGTATGAGTGGAGGTACAACAGAAGTTGAAAACGTTCATTCAGGTTCAGCAGACAGTCGTTTCGGTTGTGAGCTTCTACTCTGAGCATATGCAGCAGCCAGCGAGGACTGCAGCTAGTGGGCTATATAGCTCGTGTTCGGGATACGATGGGTGAGGAAATGCTGCTTTCTCACCAGTTGCCTAGATAGCTGTTAACTATTGGTGCCTTGTAGAATTATAACATCTTTCATTCACAAGATTTAGTAATTAGGTGTTAGTTTAGATAAATACTGAAATATGGATGGATGCAGATTTTCAGGAACATCTGACTTACTCCAAGGGCATTGTAATTGAGAGTAAAATGTTGTTGAGATTTAAGGGAGGCTAATTTTTCTATACTATGTCTCAGATAAAATATCTTCAGTATTATGCATAGCTTGAGAATGCATCTTGAATGAAAGGATAACGATATGAAGGTAAAAAGATATAAATCTAGGTGTGTGTTACTCTCTTTCTCCAGAAAGAGATGGACTTGGACTAATATTTTAGTATTAGTATTTCCTTTTAAGAGAGGACTCATTCCCCAGACAAAAAGAATTTAGTAGATTGCGTTTGTTAGTGAAACATGAGAAATTAGTGAAGAGGCAACTTTGCAAATGAGATGGCAAGAAGCTATTGGGGAGGGAGAGAACATAGTAGTGCTGAACAGAAGGGAGGTTGTCTTGGTTAATTTTCATTAATAAAAGTAGCACCAGTAGGATCTTTTGACCAAAACCTATGAGATATTGTCACTGCAGAGGAAGGATATTTACATAGGAAAGCAAGATTACCCTGTAAAAACAGTCAAGTGCAGTAGAACAAGGTTATAGTCTTGTGAAGTGATAACAAAAAATATGATCGGTCCTGGTTTGTAACAGAAATAACTGAGATGGGAAACACTTGCAAAAGCTATTTGGTCATACACGTGTGAGCATCTAGGGTAATGCTGCTGTGGGAAGGGCACTCCTAAAATAAGTCAGAAGGATATTCTCTGTCATTGCTGTAGGGCAGGATTCAAGATTCAAATAAGCTAAAATGAACCCAGAAGAGGTGTAGAAAAGGGCTACTAAGGGTGATGAATGGCAGGGGTGTCTGACAAAGGGAAATTAGAAGAATTTGGCTTGTTTGGCCTAACAAAAGAACAGTGGGTATAAACTGGCACTTTGTATATTAGGCTTTAAATTTTTTTTAATTCTTTGGTCTTTTGTCTGTGTTATTTTATGGGGAGAAGGGGAGGACTTCTGTGTAGTTTAGAAATGTAGCTAGAGGAGTTAATGTAAAGGAGAGGATTCTGTGGATTCCTATGATAGCCGGGAGGCTGTAGTCAGTGGTGGGCTGGAAAGGATAGCTTACCCTTGGAGTAGGTTACCCAAATGCAAATATTACACTACCACAATAGTTTTTATAATAAGAATAAATGCACTTTTCTCTGTGCTATTTAGAAAAGAAATGCATGATCTTCTGCTTAAAAAAAAATATGTTTTAAACAGTTGGCTACAGTCTACTGTAACTTATTGTTTTAAATTAATCCTTTGGAGTAAGCCTTTCTGTTGCAGGAAAGCAAGACGTCACTAAGTTCACCTTGACTAAATCAGTAGCAAGGATTGTTACTTCCCGTTTTCCGTGTTGTTGCCACAAGCCCTGTCTGAATGTCAGTATTCCTTACAAGTGTCTGCATTGTGAGAAGTTAATTGAACAAATACCTACCAATAATTGTAGTGGGTGGCTATTGTAGAAACATGGGAAGTAAAATCAGACATACAAGGAAAGGAAAGGACTTGTGAGAATGTCTGAAATGTGACTGGCCAGATGGGTTTTTGAGAAGATGTAAGATTAACCATATAGAGCCAGGAGGACTTTGAAGACGGTCAAAACAAGATTACTGTCTGGGTAGGGTTACTTATATGTGTAGAGTATCTCTCAACTTGTCACAACAAATTTGTTGTGATCTGTGCCTCAAAAGTCGTATGTTCCAGCCGTTAAAAAAGCGTCTTACTCATGTTTATATAGCTTTTAAACACTTCGTGTTATCCTATACCTTAGTACTTAAGTAGTTTTAAATAACCTGACTGTGGTTTACCTGTTAAGTGCCTGAACGTATTTCTCATATTGCCCTGTCATTTGTTGTGTTGTGACATTAAATATAATGCACTTCAAATAACTTCTTACTTAGGAATAAGTAACTCCAACTGCCACTTACTAAGCATATTGATTTCATCTGCAGTGGGAGAGACCAAACATAGTTTTGACTTCAAGGCAAATCTTTTTTTCTCCTGAAGACTTTGAGACCGGTCAAAGTGTTTCTGGGTAAACTCGGGGTTAAAGAGTGTCATTGGGGGTAGTGGGGCTGGAACAACTAGATTTCTTTGAGTCATGTTCCTGTTTTGGGCAGTGGTTCTAGGAGGTGCAAAAATAATCACAGTAATTACTCAGCAGAGATAAAACAGGCCTGTTTATGAATGGTTTGTCCACGGGGAAAACTGCTGTACATAAAGACGCTTAGAAGGTCAAAACATTACATAAAAACTCCCTTTTTAGTGAATTATTTCAGGTTTCCTTGAAGAAATGGCAGCCGATCATTCTGGTCAAGAGGCTCTAAACTTTGCTTTTTTAAGTATGGTATGTCATTAAAAAAAATGAACTTGTGGCCATGTCAGCAAGTAGCAGTGTTGAGTGTGTGGAAATGTAACTGAAATATTGCTTGAAGGGATTACATTTTACATAAAGTATCTTAGATTGAGAGATGATTTGAGGAAAAACAAAGTCATTGGAGTGTCCCACTCACCTGCTTCATGGTACTCCTGAAGTGCAAATGAAATGAATACTTCAAAAGCAAGGCACGAGTAGCTCAGAACACAGAGTTGTTGGGTTGTGACTAACTGTAGCTAGATAAGAAGCAGGGGTGTGAGCAGTGAACCCCTTTGTTCTGGCAGCTGTGGTACGTACTTTCTGTTTGCTTCATATGGGACCACTATTGCACTTTGTGAATTCTTTGGTCTAACCTGTGCAAACACGAAGCAGCTGGAGATCTGCCCGAAGAAGGTAGTTAGGGAGTGGCTGGTGTAAAATCAACATTCCACCACTTTATGTGCTTACTGTCACTGTCATCGTGCCAAGGAAAATCAGGTGCAGAGCTCAAGCAGGGCATGCTCCAGTAATTCTTCCCTGTATAATCATCTTGGGGATGCCATCGTGGACTATTGTAACTGGCTCTGGAGACTTGGTTGGCTCCTACTTAGTCTCAGGATGTAAGCAGACTCACAGCTACTCTGAGCATCAGATTTTTAATAGTTCACTTTTAATTTTTTTGCTTAGACACAGACGCCTGACGTTTCCACTGAGACTTGCAGATAGGATATGTCTAGAGGGATATGTCTTGTCTGGTTTCCATGGCTGTGTCCTCAATAGGAGTAGGTTCTATGTGGTTGAACAATCCCCCTAGTGGGTCGTCTTTACGTGTATTTTTGAGGTCCTCTTTGAGCAAGTCATGTTGCTTTCTTCTATAGTGCACATGTGATGGTCACTGAGGCAGATTGCATGGAAAGCGCAGGTATACCAGTCACTTAATGTTTGGAGGTTCAGAATTAGCATACCAGTTGTTAGTTTCATAGACTTAAGTGAGATTTGGTTTGTGATCTGAATTAAGTGGCAGAGTGTACTTGGCATTTTTCATTTTATTACAAGTAAACTCTAAATAATGCCAACAGAATTCCAACATCAGGGAAGTGTTGTGTTACACAGTGTGTGACTAGTTTTAATGGAGCTTCAAGTAGTCTGTGCTACTAGCAAGTAAAACATTGAATTGGCAGCGTAGTGTAGTATCTGTAGGGAGAGCTTTTTGGCTCAAATAACACAAAAGGCGGTTACAATTGGCTTGGGGCAGCAAGTATCTTGGTAAAAGTAAATAGTACAGTACCACTACTCTGTAGAGCTTGTTGTAATTTCACTTGGTAATTTTGATGGTATATTTGCAAAGTAGCATCCACATAGGTCAAAAACTCCATTTGAACTTTCAAATCACTTGGGAAAGTGCCTTCAATTCATTGAGGTGTGTAAACTCAGTGAGCCAAAGTTGATGTGTATTCTGAATGTTGTCTTTAATATGCAAACCTGTAGAATCGTCAACTTCTCAACTGATTCTTTTTCAGGATGGAAAACTTAATGCACCAATAAGGAAGGGTTTGAAAACTTCACAGAAATTCTACTGCTGTCCTATTGAAGGCTGCCCTAGAGGACCAAACAGACCATTTTCCCAATTTTCTCTTGTAAAACAGGTATTCCTATTTCCTAAAGTATTATTTTCATACTGATTTAGCCCTGACTGTCTCTACTCCAGAGCGCGTACACTTTTGCATTCAGATATGAGCAAAGCCTCTCAACATATATCCAGAAGTTGGAGAATTGTATGCAGAAACAGTATGTTCTGCTAAACTACAAGATAGCCCCTCTCCACAAATTAAAAAGACGGAGAAAGATCAAAGAGGGGAAAAAAAGAATCACAGTAGCAACCAATAAAGGTTTAAAATGTGGCTGATGCTTTTAAACTGCTTTTTCAAGTGGTCAAGAATTAATAGTTTTTCTCTGCTTTAGTATCAAAATGCATTTGTTTACTAGTTACCTGTTTAAGAAAACATGTAAGACTTGTTTCTGCCTGAGTGAGTAAAAAAAGCACTCTTCTGGTGTTGGTTACCTGTGATAAGCTGGGCAGACGATAGGAGATGAGTGGCTAGCGCTTGGTGCCGTAAATGAAAAGGAAAAATTCTGGTGTTTGCTCTGAAGTTGACCTGTTTGACTTGAGACTATTTGTGCAGTTGTAGATCTTCAGGAGTGTGCACACGTTGCAACATACACTTACTACGCTCTTTGGCAAGATTCAGCTATAGATTTATTAACGTCCATGGGAAACCTCCAATAGTATTAGGACACATAGATATTTATCTGTGTTTTAAGATGCACATAGCAGAAGCAGATTTGCAAACTTTAAATTCTTTCTGTTGATTTCTTTAAGCTTGTAACTTATTCCTAATGAGACTTTTAAAAAATTCTTAATTCTACTCTTCAATGCTATTTAACAACTAAAAAAAATGCAAATATTAATGTCTCCCCTAAGCATGATTTTCTTTTTTTTAATCTTACCTGAAGGCTAATGTTTACTTTTCATTGTGTATTCTAGCACTTTATGAAAATGCATGCTGAAAAGAAGCACAAATGTGATAAATGTAGTAATTCCTATGGTACAGAATGGTATTTGAAACGGCATATAGAGGTCTGTGGCAAGACTTTCCAGTGTACTTGTGGGTGCCCTTATGCCAGCAGAACAGCATTACTGTCTCATATTTACAGAACTGGCCACGAAATTCCTGCCGAACACAGGTAAAAGTGAAGCAGTTAAGTAATGATACTTATATTCATCACCAAGTCCTCTATCTCCCATGTACTGGCTTTTTGTCTCCTTTCTGTTGATTAAATTGGAAATAGGCTTGCATTGTTGTAGCTGTAAAGCAGTTTGCAGTTTCTTTGTTCAGTTGCTTTTAGTAGTTTCTGTTTTGTTGAAGGCAATGATTGTCTAATCAATAAGATCAGGTTTCCCCACATATAAAACAAAGAGTACTGATGACACTGCACTGCACGGCATAAATGCCGTGGGTTCTTGTTGCATCTGCTTTTACAGTTCTGTGAGAGTAGAGATGATTTGGAAATGTTTATAGCTGGTATCTTAACAAGTACATATATTTCATAAAGGGTAGTCTGTTTCCTGAGGCCTAGCCTGTCTGTCTTGGAGATTCAACTGCTGCAAAATTAAGTTCTGTGTGAAGGAGCGCTAATCGTATCTTCAGTTTCCATGAGAGACCTTTACCTGTACGCTAGTTTTAAGAGCGCTGTCCCTTCAATGCTCAGTCTGAGCATCAAAGTAACAAATTAAACGTCTTCAAATCGGAGTGCTTAATGTACAAGGGGGAAGAAACCATCTAAACTTCCACCTCCATTTAGAAATAAGTCTCCATAAAAGAGGTAACCATTTTTTCTTTTTTAAATGGGAGAGTGAGGAATGAAATTTTGCAAAACTGAAGTTCATGGAGTCTCTTTATGTTTTAATCAGGATTAGTTGTCTTCTCATATCCAACCTCATCTGTGACTTCAGTTTATATTTTCAATGCAATGACTCAAAAGAATGGAAGGCAGATGTTTTGTGCTTGAAAGGAGTATAAATTATTGATCTCATGTTCACAGGGATCCTCCTAGTAAGAAAAGGAAAATGGAATCCTCCGTACATAATCAGCAGCTGGCAGAGAAAGCAAATGAAGCATTCATCAATACACAGAACAATAATCCTGGCACTCAGGAATTGGAGTCCTCTGAAGTGAAAGTAGTGGCCTCTCTTGAAGGCAGTTCTAACTTCACGAACCAAATGCAGCCAAAATGTACACCGAAGATGCTTCTACCAAAGCCCAAGGTGGCTTTGGTTAAACTTCCAGTGATGCAGCTTGCTCACTTGCCTATATATGTGTCTGCAACAGACTCTTCCGTCAAACCTGCTGTAGTGGCTGTTGATAATCAAGGTTCAGTTGTAAGTACTGTTCATTTATTGCCCCAATCTATAGGAATTCTGATTCCAGCACTGGAGGCAGAAACACTTGTATTTAAAGATAGTATACCTGTTTCAAAAGTGACAAATTCTGGTGATCATGAACCAGTAAGTACTGGTGTACAAGTTGAGTGGGATAAGGTTACGTCGAATAACACAGGGCAAGAGCTGGGGAATGTTTGTCACAAGAATAAAATTTCTTCAATAAATATACAGACTGATTTATCTTACATTTCACAGAACTTTGTACCTGCTGCAGCCTGGACTCCCAATTCTTCTGTATCCTCTTGCTCTCAGACAGATCTGTCATTCAGTTCACAGGTTTCGTTACCCATCAGTGTACAAACACAGACGCTGCTGCCTGCTTCCAAACTGACTTCATCCATAGCTGCTCAGACTGATGCTTTTAGTCAGGTTTGTTTTCCAACGTGTGGCGTTTCTAGGGAGACTCAAACTAGTAGGACACAGGACTCTATTGATGGAAGAGTGCAAATGGACCAGGCTGTAATGTGCAGTGACATCTTTGACAACGTTCATTCATCATACAATGTTTCTACTCACATTGAACTTCCAGAAAACAATTTAATGCCTGCAAATATAGATCAAACCTTGCTGCAAAGGAGTAATTGTAAGAGCCTGAATCAAGATACGGTGAAGTCTGAATCCCTTATCGGCTTCAATACACAGACTAATATACTTCCACCTCAAAATACGATGGATAATCAAACGCAGACAATGGACCTACTAAGTGATCTGGAGAACATCTTTTCAGGAAACATGTCTGGCCAGACACTGGATAATCGTGGCCTTTTGTCTGAGACAAGTTCTAATGCTGACACACACCTGCCATCTGGTCCATCACAGAGCACAGGAATAGACTTTGACATTGAAGAGTTCTTTTCAGCATCCAATATCCAAACTCAGACTGAAGAGAGTGAGCTCGGTACCCTAAACTCTGAGCCAGTTTTGGAGTCACTGGACATTGAAACTCAGACTGATTTCTTATTTTCAGATAGTGCCACTCAATCATATAGCTGCCGAGGAAATTCTAACTTCTTAGGTTTGGAGATGTTTGATACACAGACACAGACAGACTTGAATTTCTTTTTGGACAGTAATACCCATTTGCCTTTAGGAAATATTCTGAAGCAGTCTAGTTTCTCCATGAGTACTGACTCATCTGATACAGAAACCCAGACAGAAGTATATCCAGCTACTAAAAACATACCAACTCAGAATATTGAAAGCAAAGTCCAGCTCAGTAGCGCTGAAACACAGACTATGGATAGCTGCTTTGAGAATCTAGGGAGTTTATTCCTTACCAGCAATGAGACACAGACAGCAATGGATGACTTTCTTCTGGCTGACTTAGCCTGGAATACAATGGAGTCCCAGTTCAGTTCAGTAGAAACACAGACCTGTGAAGAGCTGTGCTCCTTGTTTCAGAGCTCTGACAAGCCCAGCCATTGAGTACTACGTAATATAACTGTTTCCTGTGGTTTGAAATTAAGTTATTGGGGTGGGAGAGATGGCTTGACCAAGTTATCTACTTTGCATTATTGAATGTAGTTTATCGTGAGCAGTTGGCCTAAGAGACTTTTCATGCTGAAGGTACTCTATTGAATATGTAACTTTACATAAGCTATGTGTGTATAAATGGGGGGAAGGGGGGGCTGAAACATGTTAATGTACATTTGAACCTTAAAAAAAAAAAAAAAAGAATTATGTGGTGCCTATGTTCAAACTTCTTTGCAAAGCTGATACTGCTTTAATTTAAACAGAAGAACTTTTAAAGTTGTTCTATATATCTGTCTCTACCTATTCCTGGCTTACATATAGGGTTCCAATGTGCTGGACCAAAACCCTGACCTGTCCAATTCAGATGTTTCCCTGAACTTACGGGGGAGGATTCTGTTAGTGTAAGCTACTTCTGTTTACTTTTTTTAGTAGCTTGTATTTTAAATCCGGCATGAACATAAGCTGTATTGTCTTCTTTTACTTTATGCTTTCACAGCTCTTTCTCCTGCATAAGTTGGTATTTTCCAACTACCTGTCCAACACATTAGAGACATATAGACTCTTGAATTGTTGAATATATTTATTATTAAACACACATAGAAAGCAGTACTTTTAAAATTTTTTTCCCTGAGTGGCACTGATGACCTTTGAAGGGTAGGAAAAGAACTTGGAATACATATTATAGGAAAAATTAGTATGTCGTCCTTTTAGCTAGTGTAATAAATGGGACTAACATTTTTAGAGTCTTCAGGAGGGATTTGCTTAAATTATTTATGTCTGTAAGATGCAAATGTTACAATGTGTGTGCCTCAAAGACTGGAATAATTTGTTTTCACTGAAATTCTCCTAGCTTTATGAAGATATAAGTGGAGAAATGTTACAGTGGTTTATACCTCTATTACCTTAACAGAAGTCTTTAGAAATGGGAAATTAAATTCTCTAAAATACTCACCTAAACTCCTGGTTTTGGACTTCCTGCTTCCAAAAACAATTGGAATCCGTACAACAGAGCTGGGAGATCAGCTCACAGAAGCCCTTTCAGAAGAGGTGTATCTTGCTTTTGCACGTTGATCTGCAGCCCTCAGTTCCTGCAGCTTTCAGGGAGTTTTTCTGAGTATAGTCAAATTCAAACAAACTGATTTTTCAGAGAAGAAACATGTGACCTTGGAATTTTTTTGAATGTTCATCTTGCCCCTCAGTACTGCATTGTTTGCAGTATTTTTCATTTGCATGACAAAAATTAAGCCAGTTGTGAATGTATGTTGGAATTTGACCTTAACTAATTTTTCTCTCTTACTATAATACCTGCAAAATGTAGGCCTCTGGTTTTGTCCTGGACAGGGTTTAGTTTCTGTTACCTTAAATGAAAAGAGAAACCACTTCGTGTCAAGTTCCTGGGCCTGTAACAGACTTTACTCCTCCACTGTGCGAGGAGAGGTATTGGCTGCATATTTACTAGGCAGCACATCAGTAAATGTATGTCCAAGCCTTAGTTTTTGAAGACTCGCTGTGCTTTGTGCTTCATATCCTCAACTCAAGGATGTGGGAGTTAAGTTACTCATCCACTGCAGCTAGCTTGTTTTGTTGAAAATGAGCAATACCTTTTTTTTTTTTTGTCTCTTCCTACCACTCTTTAAATTGCCATAGTTAACACGCTAATATGGTAAGCATCTCTACTTTTACTGGAAATAATCTCTTTAGATTAACCCTGAAGCTCATATTTTCCTCCTGAAAAACTCCTGAAACCACAGCTATGTTGCCTGTTTAATTTTTCAACATTTCTAGGTGTGAGTTCAGACACTTCCAGTCTTTGGCTGAAGAAACTGCAGAAAGGAATCTTGCAGTTCCCCCAGGAGTACAGTAATTCTGCTCTGGGGAAAGTCCCCCCAGGTTTCATAATGCCTGGAGTTCTGATCTTAAAGGTGGGATATATTAAAAAAAGGAAGACATCGCTTGTAATTCTGTTTCTTCTGAAGATGTGGCTCATTCATATTTACCTACCTACTTTGAAACTGGGCAATAAGACAAATGACAAAATTAGGTTAATTTATTCTATTGCAGTATTTTTCTAGTAATGTTGCATCTTCAGGTTTTAAATTGTTTTTCCTTCTCCTTTCTTCCCCCTGGCTAGAATACCAGAGAACATTTCTTCATACATAGGCTTCTGTGTTTCCCATGTGCAAGTTGTCTGTAGTGATGCATGAAAGAGAAGCAGTTACTATAAATCTGGTTGGGGAAAACTGCATTTTCCACAGCCGTAGAAGGCAGAAGTGAGAAACTGTTCATTACCTATGAATTCAGAAAGTCTGTCTTTTTTCTGCAAGAGAAGGAATCTTAGGTGATGAGGAGCAGAATTACAGAAGGCTTTGAATTGTAGCCATCTGAAAGACCAGCTAGCATCTAAAGAACTTTGAAACTAATTTACAAATCAAAATGAGAATTGCCATGTTCTTATGGTGTAAGCCAAAGCTCTTAACATCAGTGACTATCGGGAAAAAACCTAAGGTTTGTGTGGACGCAATCTTACAATGTAATTGTTACTCATTTATTGTACTTTGTAATTAAAAGTATTTATGAGCTTTGTGTGTTTTATTGGAACATGCAAATAGCATTTCCTTCCCTCATCCTAGGGGTTTAAAATAGTTTGAACTTTAATTAGGTGAACACAGTACTACAGTATGAAATTATTTATTGAAAGTGCAGTATTAAGAAATTATTAAATATGTCTGCATTGTCTTTGGGAAGTGGCTCATTCTGACCAAAATTAACAACTTCACAAATTTGGTTCGCCATAAATTATTCATAGAATTCAGAAACAGGTTTGGATGCTATGTTGCTGGCATATGTCGCTCAGTTTGGATTTATTAAGTATTTTTGTGAAAATGTGAAGACTGCAACCAGACTTCATAGTTTGCTGAATCCCACAGTAAACCTAATGAAACCTGATCTGAAATACTGTTGCTGAATATTATGAATTCTTCAAATTTGAACAAGTTCTTTAAAATGGCTAGTTTTCTATTTTGGCTGCTGTTTTAAAAATAAACTTCAGTCAGAACTATTTCTTGATAGTACTAAAATGATACTTATCTCCCTTTTTCTGCAGTATGTCTCTGATTTGATTTTCAAGGCACTGTCTCTGTTGTAAGTATTGGTCAGCAGTGGCTTACTACTTTGCTTATTCTCTTTTGTATCCTCTACTGCTATTTGAACTGCTATACAAAAAGTAACATCAGATTCTCCATAGCCTCTTAGCACAGTTTTTTCTCTGGAAGTGATACTAATGTTACTTGTACTTACTCTTTGCATTTCCTGCTTAATTCTGTTATGCTGTAATTGCTGGATCTTGATCTGGCTGCCTGTGTAATGCTACTCTAAAATTGAATTAGTAGTTTTGTAGTTTCACTTGAGCTTTTCTTTAGTATATAAAAAAAATCAAACAAATGAAACAGCGAATTGGGGACACGCGTTCTATGAGAACGTAAGCACAAAACAGCTGAAAAATGAGAGGTCTGTCTTGTTGCCTTCCATGTTTGTTTGTCACAATGCTAGAAGTTTGTATGACATAGATGTATGTTTCTTCTACTTTTGGCTTTATTTGCATCTATTTCCGCTAATACACTTGTAAATGCTTCTTTCTGCTTTGGGTAGGGAGGGAATCCTCCCCCAACTCTTCGTGTCAGCCTAGAGAAATTGGTAATGTCAGAGTTTACTAACACTAGGTATTCTTAGCTATGCAAAGTTGCTTGTGTCTAGAAAATTTTCACTTCCGAAGGATATGAAATCTTAAAAAAATATATACATATATACTTGCAGCTGTAAATTAAACAGCTGTAAAACAAGCCTTGTGAGACCTTGTCTAGTTTTGAACAATTCAATCAGTGTCTGTAACTTAATGTATGTAACTAGCACTCCTAACAAATTTTTATTCCAAGGTGCACACGCAGTCATTTTTTCTGTTGAAAACAAAAGGCTGAATTTCCCTGTTAGTCATATGTACCTTGATTGTGTAGAGGCAACAGAATAAAGGAAGATGACCGCCTTCCACTGTTTTAAATCCTTGACCTGCCAACACATGCTCACGTGCTTAGTCAGATCTGAATTGATTTTTTTTTTGTGAGGCTGGGTAGAGATGTGTTGGCAGGATTGGGATCTTAGGATGTTAGGGTTTTTTTAATAGCCTTTCAAATACCGGGTAAGTCAATAGGACTAATACATACTGAATCAACATAGGGTGCTCAACTTGCAAAAGAATATGTTGCTGAAATGACAACTCGGAGGTGAACCAAATGTACTTGCCTTTATCATTAAGGTTGTACGGTTTCCTTTGCTTTAATCTATTTCTGACGTGTTGTTTTTTTAAACATGATCTTAATGTACAGTTTACTGTTCCAAATACATTCACACCAAAATGTTAACATTCTGGGCCTTGCAAGCTTTTTCATTCATATTTGGTTTAAGGTGCTGCTATGCTTGTGTTCCCAGTAGAATAGGCCTACTGTAAACAGACTTCTATTAATAACTGTATGTGAACACTGTGAGGATAGGGTTGTTTAATGGTAGCAAGCTTCAATGCATGGTGCAAACATGCATCTTCTGTTTCTTTTGTTGTTTTTTAACAGTTGATGTGAATTTAAATGTGTGCTAGAAGGACTTGCTGCTTAAAGCATGACTGAATTTTCTTGTTTAAAATGCCATTGCTATGCAATGAACAGAATCAAGGAACCACATTGTTCAACTCTGCATTGCCTTGCAGTCGGGTTGAGGGTATGTTTGTATTTGTGTGCGTGACTCTTCCACTTTGCCGAAAATGTAATCGGACATCCTGAAACAGTGGAAACTCCTGAAGGAACTGCTGAGTTAAATAACAGAAGTCCTTTACTTCTGATTCTTTTTCATATACTGGCTTTACAGCAGTATCTTCAACATAACTAGCAATGGAATATAATAGATGACTTGTGATGATGTAAACTGTACATTTCACAACAACTAATGCTTTACATGCATGCTTCAAGCACTTGCATGCAGAGCTAGATTGACAGTACTTCCATCTACAGAGATTTGCAAGTGCATCTATGATAAAGATAGATATGAAGGATAGCCATATTTTTTTCAGCTTATGGAATTCAACACCGGATTATGATCTAATTTAAACTTGTAATTATTTGGAACGGATGAGTAATAAATCTCATGGGTGAGTCTTTCCCAAAGCATGTGTGAGTTAATCTCAGTAAGGCTGAGAAACATCCTTAAAATATTTTTCTTCTCATCACTGGTGGGATTTTGATCTAGTGGACAAATTTAGTTTTCAAAGGATGTCCATGTTTAATTCTTGCTATTTAAGCCAGTAAACTTGCAATGAGCAGACAAAAGCAAGCGTTCATTCCTTAGACCTATTTTACAAGTGACAATCCCAAAGAAGGAATGTTGTCGTAGTAATTGTGAAACTTTTAAGTATATTCATGCATGCAGAGAAAACCTTGTGCCAAAATACTGTTTCCTGTTTCCCTCTGTTGGAAACTGAAGTGTTAGACAAAGCTACTAGTAAGTTATTCACAAGTATTGAAACGTTTTGTTCACAAATGAAGCACTTATTTAGTCCTGTAAATTATACATATTTTGGAATAAAGTTAACTTCAATCAGTTTTTGCCTTCTGTTTTAATGCTTGTGATCTGCCTACAGAGGCATGGGTGGGGTGTTCAGTGCCTATTGGCAAGTAGCACCCATTGCTCCTTAACATCTTACCTTTTTGAAAGCTAGGTGTCTTGAATTGGTAGAGATTTTGTAAATTAAAACTATCTTACAATGTCAGTCCTTCATCTCCAGAGGCGGCAAAAGTTTTCCTGTGTAGTCCTGCTTCTCAGTGAATCCTAGGAAGTTTAAACTTGCAACACAAATGTAATCAGAATGTCAAGATGCTACATTTCATAAACCTGAAACAAATCCATCCGAGAGGTTCTCTGCTGTAAGTGAACCTATGCATAAGACTTCCGTGCAGAATCTGATGCATACAGGCAGGGCTGGATTCTTCTGACCAGCAGCATCCAGGCTGGCTGCACTAGTGGTGCTCCATCTCGAACCTCTCGGCAGTGCATGCAAATTTCAATCTTTAATTCCCTTGTACAGACAATGGAATAACTCTACAGTTTCAGCTCCCTGGCAGATGCCTTTCTTCTACAACAGACTGTCAGGACAGAAGGATTACTTTGTATTCTTCCTCTACCTTACCATCCACCCCTCCTGTAATTTTCAAGATCTCTAGAGTCATAAGTAACATCAAGTAGAAATTCAACTGCATTATGATTATTAGTTTTCAAAGTATCCTAGAAAATTACAGTCCTCTCTAACAGCTTATATTATTTTGTAATATATTTTATATAACTGAGAAAATAATTTTGCCACTATGAATATTTAGGGAAAAAAAAAAAGCTAGAGTAGATTGGTTTGGAGTATGGATCATACTTTGTCCTTTTTCTTCTTGTACAGGTCCCATGCTTAGTCATGATCCCACCATTTTCTGTTAGTTGGAGGATATAAAATGCTGATTTCTACTGTTACCTGTATATATAATTCAGAGTAGGTGAACGAGCTGGTGCTCCTTGACTGAAAGTTCATCTGTACCATTACACCAGCTATAGTCACAAATGAAGCATTCTCTGACGTGTAGCAGGCTGCTGTTTTCAGTCCCATCATACTCTGGGGTAAGTATTTGCACAAGGCAGCGTTCAGCCCTAGTGGTACCAAAATATGGATGGTATTTCCAGAGGGGAGTATGTCACAAGTATCTAGAAACTAAATTCCTGTTCAGAGCATTCAAAATTATGAGAGTCTCAAATGTATGAGACGCTGACTGTCCTTTTAGGAATAATAGCCCTATTCGTGTTGTAGGAATGATTCTGCTTAGTTTAGTCTGAGTCATTTCAGGCTTTTCATTATTCAGAACAGATTTGGCCCATGGACAAAAGTCAGATACTTTGACAGACCGATCCTCATGAAACTTTCACAAATGGTCAACAGTCTAAAAGGCAGGACAAACTTTAACTCTTGATTGAGAAGAAGATAATGGCTGCTTCAAAGGGAAGCCTCATGTATTTTTGAACTACTTTCTTGTTTGCTGTTGCTGAGAATTCACATTTCTTCTGGCAGTGAAAGCATCCCTGACTGTTTTGTGTTTAGTTCCTGAATTTCCTTCACTTAAAGAAATTGCATGCTGGCAAGTTGATTGTTTTCTGTCAAAACAATGGAATTAGAGGCAGATTTTCTTTCTGGCTCCAGGATTTGACAGTGAGTCCTCTGGAATCGGTCCTTTGGAAGTTTGGACCTAAAACAAAAAGGGAAAAATGTTGATTTAACTTTCATGTGTTCCTTCATTGTATTTTTACATTGTTGTCAACAATTCCCTTTTCGCTTGTTTTGTTTTGGCACCGTGAATACAGGAAGCATTTCTAGCTGATCTAGCCCTTAAGTTTATTTCCTTTCCGTGAACGGGAATGGCTTTATTCTTGAGAGAATTTACACGTAAACAAGAAGCTGCTGTTTCCTGTGCTAGAAGAACCCAGTGTATTCAAGGGCACATAACTTGATTAAGCTTACGATGGCTTAAGTATTGTGTATTTGTTTCTTTATGTTCTAGGCCTTCAGTTAGCAGCTTTTCTGGTCTTCTGCTACAGGTCTTGTAGCAATAATCTGCGAGTGTGGTTCTTAGAAATATTATCTTGTATCAGGTTGTAGTAAAACCTCTGTCTAATCTGGCTGATTTGACAGTTTCAAATACCTCAGCAAAAGCGTTTCCTGGCATGAAACACTGGAAAATGTGGAAATAATGTTTATAGTTTTCCCTGCAACTTTGAACATTTTTTTTTCTGTAGCCCTAAAGAATTTACTACCTGTCTGCAATGGCTGCAACTTATAATTACTGTAATGAACATGTTTGGCTTTACTTACTGTTAATTGGTACTGCAGTTCATTTTTCAGTTTTATCACTGAAGCAGCAGTATTTTCAGTTGTCTGAACGGGAGAGACTCTCTTCTCTCCTTCGAGACTATGGAAAATGTTACTAGTTTCACGGATACATAGGTGTTTGAATTTTCTATTTAGTGGAAAATGGGACTGAAACAAGTACATACGGATTTATTTAACTTGGGGCTCTTTGTGAAGGATGCTTCTTTTGTAGAGCTTGCATTTTATATCTACATATGGAAAGCAGGATTAGAAAACATATTACCATAGGGGGAAGGGTACAAAGAAGGGAAGAAAATGATCTGTTAGAGGGTGTGTCTGTTTTGTCAGAATGATACTGCACTTGTATAACTGTAGCACCATAATTGAATAGCAGTTAGGACAAGTTACTACAACAAAAATCTGTTTCCTGGACATTAACAACCAAGATAGAGCTTGACTCCAGATAGTCATTGGCTGAGATTTTCAGATATCCAGAGTATTGAAAGAGATAGAAGATGCACGTAGATCACAGTATCAGCTATAAGGACCTATTTTTTAATAGATCTTTGTAACTTTTTAATAGGTTCTTTATAACTTTCCCTCGTGACTTGCAACAAAATATGAAACAGGTACAAAAAATTACTGTCATTTCAGATTGAAATGTTTAGCTTTTGTTCTTCAGGAAGAGTGAAGGAATGCAGAAGACAGTAATCCTGTGAGCAGCCTTGTGCTGTTTCTGGCATAGGTGCTCGTTTTGTTGGCCGTTCAGTAGGTGGCACTCCTCTCTCCAATACAGAGGTGCTGTCGCTTGAAAAATCAAATTTGCTGCCAGAAAAATGTTGGCCCTGTCCTAACCTCCAGTGCAACAACTCTCATACTCTGCGCCTTAAGCTGATATGCCACTCTACTTAAAGATATGCTTCTTAAAGAATCATAACATACTATCTATACAAATGAGTGTTCTAAAAGATTTCCAGATTTCCCTAAGCAATTCCCAGGAAAATTTGTATTGGGAGACAAAGCAAACTGCTTGGAGCTGTTATTTAACACTAGCACTCGGCTCCTGCGTTCTTCTCTAGAGGTCGTTTCACATGAGTATTGGGTGAAGAGATGAAGCCATGTCATCCTTCTGTTTTTTAAAGGAATGAACACATAATTACTTAGATACATAGAATACATATCACCTATTTTACTGAAACTGCCTCTAGAAGGTGATATTTCTTTAGCTCTGATGTTGAGATACCTGAAGATGAACACAATTAACAAACTGATGCCAGAAAACTACTAAAAACTACATTTATGCACATGTTGATTAGTAAAGAAATAAATCTAAAAAGACATTGAGTTCCTCCATCTATTTTACAGTGGAAACCATCTGGTATTGGGAGCCTTGCACTGGTATTATCTTTCCCTATTCCAAATTTTTATCAAAGCATCAAAAGAGGGGAAGGGTAAGTTGCAATGAATCTCTGTCCTGAATGCTGAATTGAATTGCAGTTACCTCTGTATCTATGGAAAGACTGCTATTTTGTTTTTTGTTTAACACAAAAGCCGAAGAGAACTTGATCAGAAAAAGCCCTTCATTTAGTATGAGATGAAACAAGAATAAGTGAGTATCAGAATGCACAGAATACATATTAAACAGAAACAAGCAAAGAACACGTTAACAGATTTAAAAAATGAATCTACTTACAACAAGTAAGAAAAAATAATTGTAAATAATTGTCAGTCCCACCACTCTCTGCTCTCCAGGTCATTTCCAATTCTTTTAGGTGCCAAATTAGCAAGGAATGTATGCAAATATTTTTCTGTGAAGCTCAATAGGATTTAGCACTGTTTAAGTTAAGAATATTATTAAATCCCTTGTGGAGTAGGCATGGATTTAAGAATGTTCCTAAAGTTAGGCATTGCTTCAGTGCTCAGCAGCATCAAATACCTAATTACTGTGCTAGGCTACGGTAGTCATTCAGAGTGAACCTACATGAAGAGGTTGCACTTCATCCCCAGAATAAGCTATTTAAGGCTCTAAGGAATCTATCTTATGGTCAGGAAGAAACTAAACCTACGTGAAAGTAATTGGCATTCATTAGCTTATAATTCTATTAATAGCATCTACAAAAACTACAAAGGAAATTTTTTTTTTTCCTCACAGTCTAACAAGCTTTAAAAAAAGCATGAAATTACAATATAGAAATGTTAGGTCAGGCTAGATGGCACTGCATCTCCTGCGACATGGCTGACCGTTAAGGAAGGTAGTCCAGAAAGCAGTGGAACCTCCTGCATTTTTTATTCATTTCCTTCCTTGACCTCAACATACCTGTTCCTGACATTACCGGTTAAAGAGCCCTGGATGTCATCATGTTTTGTGTATTGTTTTTGGTTTGTATGTGGAATCTGCATACAGGCATGATGGCTGTTCTTTTTAAAAGCAATAGGATTATAAACAGTTGCAATACTTTTGCCTGATGTAAGAGCACAGTGCCAGTATAATGGCTCAGGACCTTCTTGCAGGAGTGAGACTTTGTATGGCTTGAGATAAACGATGATCCATGAATTTCTATTTTTTGTGCCCTCACTTTATCATTCACGATGTCAGCTCCCCTTTCACCCTTCTGCTCTGTTGCTCTAGCATTGACTACAGGAAGCAATCTCAGCTGAAGTACCATTGAGCATCTTCTGAGAGATAATGGCTTTTGTATTCTTCCAGGAAGGGTTTGAAGTATCCTTGGGAGTGGCATCCTTCACAGGTGGAAGACTTAAAGTCAAAGATTCAGAGCCATTTGGATCAAGCACATTAACCTCTTTATGCCTTACAGCGTCTGGATTTTTCACATCTTCCAGGTTCCGCATACAGTGTTCTTTTTATTGGCAGGTTTCACCTTGGAATGTTTGAACAGTGTAACTTGTTACGTATTTCCATTTTAATGCCATATGTTGTAGGACAACAGTTAGATTTAACTAGAATGGGTTGAAATCTCTTCCTTTCCTGAAGCTGTATCAGCTATGGCATCTACATTTAACTCGCCTTCTGATTTTGATTGATCTCTTGTGGTCTTGGCTTCTTGACCTATACTGTTGTCAATAGATTGCAACATGTCTAAGCAAAACTGGCAATTGTTGGAAGTTTCATTTGCCTTGCATTTCTTAGCTTGTTTTTGCAGCTGGAAGCAGGCATGTGGATCAGTTTCACCCCAGCTTTGCACCTGGTAATGGAGAAACATGTTAAATCTAAGACAAGCCAGAGCGTTGTAAGAAGAAAAATGTAGAAGAAACAGTCTTTGCTGATGTAACTGAACACTCATGCTATTTGTGTTTTCTTCCAAGTACAAAATAATGAGTAACTGTAATCCCTCACTGGTCCTATTTTGTAACGTTGCATAGTGAAAGACCTCCTGAACCGAAAGAAGGAACTGAGGTGTTTCGTAGTCCCTCCCCAGGGGTTTTCTGTTTTATCCTGCGAGAACAGATTAATCTAACTTCTGATGCAGTCATTGGTGACGGGTGAAGACTGCTCCCTCCTTCAGCATCTTGGAGGACGCTTTTCTTCACATCTTTTCTTCACCATGGGTGTAAAAGCGATTATGAAAAAAAAATCCCCAAATCTCTATAAAATGATTTCAAAGCAGTCCAAGGCGCTGCTTGACGTTCGCTGCCTCAAAACCAGCCG